AGTCATCAAATGTTATACTTACATTAACTTCATTTACTACTTGAAAGATGTTCGTGGATATTAACGCAGCTGGCTTTTCGAGTAACATTACGATCCACGATCGCTGTTAATGACTGTCGATTCTAATGATGAGACCGTAGTCACAAGATAGCAGCGATTAAGCCAATGAAAAAGCTGTTGACCTGACAGTGCCGAAACTTGTGACTCAGTTAAAAGATCGTCGTCATCGTCATCATTAAAAAATCATCAAACTGTCGACGACCTAACCGGTTCTTTTTCCAGGTCAACAGGGCTGAAAAAACCTTGCTAAGCATTCGATCTTTACATTAATTTTTCTGTCATCGGAAGCCATAATAGCGCCTACTAGCTAAAGGAGAAAGAGTGAGAGTTGTGAACGAAACTTCGTTTCTGGAAAGATTTTCAGGAGAGCCTTGCTAATTCGATTTAGACTTTCAACAAAGAGAAAATCTGAAAAGTTATATTCGTGTGTACGGTAGTATTTATGGTGAATCTCATTGCGGCTAAACCACACTGTCTGATAAGGTGTACTTTTTTTTTATGTAACACTATTAAGCGTAACGAAAAAGGAGTCATAAACATTATCGATACTGTGCCTTCTTAAATGGCAAACATTTTTGAAATTTAAACAAAAATCATGTAGCTGAATTACACCGATACACCTTTTTTCAGTACCATTTTGTATGATAAAGTTTGGTTGCTCACTTGTGAGAGTTATCCATTTATTATTCCCAGGTATCATATCTGTGTCATCAAAGTTTGTTTTTTTAATCTATATGTCTACAGGCACAAGGTGACCATCAGATCGTTAGGATCACAAAACACGAGGTGAAGCCGTTAGGTCGGCGTTTCTCCTGCGGATCTCAAAGAAAACCACAGAACATTCACCCAATCTAAGCAGGGATTCCCGCCCTACAAGGGGACAGGCCGTTAATCCTCATCGTCCCTAATTTTGTTGCGATGACTTTTTTCGGCCAAAGCAACCGCGGGATCCTTAGGACGCATCCCTTTTTCTTTGCCCACATGTAAAACTATAATTCCCTATTATCTACCTGTGTTAATATATTATCTGAATTTACAAACACTAGACTCTGTTATCACTGTGGGTTGTTGTGTCAGCTTGACTGCCGTTTTGGCATAATGTTTGGTTCATCCACTGAGCTCTACAGTCGCTTCACGACTAAGACTCTACGTCTCGAACCTTGTACGTTGTAAGCTTGTACTCGAGGGTGTACCTATTATGCGCATATCTTGCTGCCCAGATCGTGAAAAAGGTGTGCAGAAATCAAAGTGAAACATATCTCGTATCTTGGCAGGCCAGTACCACACTCCGTTGCCATCATATTCATAGAAAAGGCAATTTGCTAATCCATCGTCTACAGCGTAACGAAGTTTACCCTGGCGCAAATATACATAAGGGTATCCAGCCCCTGCTTCTGATAACTCCCATTTCATCTGCTTCTCTGTCCTCTCCTTAATGCGTGTAAAACCAGACACGCTACCGAATTCAAACGAAAGAAAGGACTTGGCCAAATGCAATCTTTGCAATTGTTGCGCTATCGTCACCAATGCCATTATCTGTATCCTAATTTTAATCACAGAAGTTCAAGATATGAGATAAAGTATATAGATCAACTATTCAAAAGCATATCTTTCCACCTACAACGGTCAACTCTTTGAATATCCATTTGCTAATTAGAATGCGTCCTAATGCGACTTTGATTTTCCGATTTAAATCGAACAAAGAGACAATTTTAGTATGTGTTTTTATTTCCACACAGTAGAGAAGTGTCATCTACATTTCCAAAGACGGCAATCGTTCTTTTTCTTAGCCTTGGTTTATTCTAAATTGTACTGTGTATGTCTTTCTCTATGGCTTCGTATATCTGGTCTTTTCGCAGTTCCGCCCAGTAGCTTCTTGTTGTCATTATCACTCGACCGTACGATATTGCTAGAGTCGAAGGGTCTGAAGCAAAATGGTTTTTGCAAAAATCTATTGTCTTCAGTGAATGAGTGCATGTATATGTTGGCTGGATGCCACACGCCAGCCACTTACCCTGCGAGATATCGCCTGGGGAGTGGATGGATGATACAGCAGGCAAACTAACGACAATTGGGCCACAGATAAAAAAAACACTTACGATTCTGAACAGAACCCATTTATTATATATATGTACATAATCACACAAAAGTCGCTTGCTCCGTGCCTTGTCCCTGAGAGCTATTCTATCAACCCCGGAGCTGTTCGCGTTAAGCGAGCTCTGTATAGCACGAGGCTGAGCGCCCTACGAGGCGCTATTGGTGCTACGCATATGGGGCTGCAAGCCAGCCCCGTGGGGCTGCAAGACACTTAGATATTTTTCCCTCACTGACTCACGGCTGCTACTTCAGAGATTGTCCTTTTTAGACGGGCCTTCTAAGGGGCACCTCCACAAAATTCTCGTCGACTGCTCCGCTGACGCCTTAACAAGTAGTATCCAAGTTGGTAGTGAACAAAACAACAGCATCAGCAGCGGTAACATCTGAATCAGCTGCCATTGCAGTCGCTGCAGAAGTTATGACTCAGCGTCCATTACAATAGCCGTAGTGCCGTTGATGCTTAGTTCTCTAAGAGCCTAAAGTAACTGAAAGACATGGATCGAGTCTTCACTAACTACAGCTACAAACAGAGTTATTGTGTATTGAGACGAGGTATCCGCTAAAAAACTATGGACTTTTTTTGCAAACGCAACATTTCTTCCTGCAATTGCTAGCCTTATTTATTCCAAGAAAATATGCGCTTGCGTATTGATGGGTGCCAGATTTTTCTAGACAAAGTACTTGCAACATGCCCGTGCTGCTCTATTCTGAGTGCTTCGATTAAGCAATGTTTAATGCTCTGGCAGAGAGGCTTACCTGCATAAATATATATAGACCAACGTTTGAGAAAATAAAAATGCATCCAAATAGCAATGCAAATGATTTCTAGAGTACTCCATAGTTTACGAATAGTATGACGATAAATATTTGCTATCTATTGGGGAGCTGTTACCTGGCCAATGAAACACTTACTCAAATTTGTTATATTCTTTCTATAGCCTTCCGCAAGCTTCTGTGTGTTCTGGCTATATTTGTATGGTCTATCGACTACGTTCAGCTCGCTGTATCTTGTCTAGCTTTATGGTAGTCAACGTTGGAGGAGAGCATATGAATTAAATTGATTTGTCCGTTTACGAACGTCAATTACTTAGATCTCTTTTCAAAGCTTAAAATCGGGGGGCGTCTCTTCCTTTGCTTGTTGAAGTCACGTTTGTCTGGCGGATTATCTAACTTACAGCTGGCAGAACACAGATCGTTTGTAAATGTCTGCAGAAACCTGGGAATTTCCCCATCTCGAAGGCAATGCTATCCAAGCGTGTGTGTACGCTTTGCCGGGAAACAGCTGGCATGGGTGTGTATATTGTGGGAGTATGGGCGAAGTAAGCGAACGAAATAACTTACGGCCTCACAGATGTGGCCAGTGGCCTAGGAAGCCAATCAGGCAAGCAAGGCCCAAAGCAAATTGGTAGTTTCGATCATCGTTTTATGCATCAGAGAGATGTGGTAGTGGGCCTGTGTGACTACGCTTGCAAATAACCCTTAGCCTAGCCATAAAAGGTACTGGATATGTTTATCGACCGTGGTCTTAGATTTAAAGGTTCAGATACGAATGTCTAAAAAAATGATTCTGTGTTACAAGGAAAATTATTCACTAGCCAAAGGAGCTCCAGTTACTCTGACCCAAAAAAATGTCATCGACATGCGGTGTGTAAGGTCGATCTACACGTACCGAACCGATCAAGATTTCCGAACACCCACTAGTCCCTCGCTATTCCTTTGAGGGTTAAATACTAAAATGATCGACGAAGGGAGCTCGAAAAGTATTTTATGGGTGGGCTTCGCCAAGTGTTCATAGCTCTCGGGCAGGGTTAATTCATTGTACTTTAATTGACTCGGCTGGTATCAAGCTAACTTGAGCAGAACCAAAGATGGAGCAAACCGAATCAAAGTTATATGGGAAGCACCATAGACTTCTATTCCCGTATGAGCTGCTAATCTTGTATAATCTAGTTCCTTAATAACTAACAGTTCTTGAGTATTGTTGCATGGTTATATTAAGAATGCAAATAGCGATTTCCCGCTAGTTTTATTTCGTATTACATATGCTAACATGTTGCATGCGTAAACGCGGCCTTTGGTTGCTACGTTGCGGAGTCTAAATGATATCAAGGGTTCGCGCGTCTAACGTATAATAGAGTTTTCTGAGCAGGCAATCGGAAAATGGCCCTGGGGCGGCCTGCGTATAGAAATGTGCTGAAACGGGGGCTGAAAGCTTCTCCAACAACACCTTTTTTTCGAAGCAGATATACTGAGGGTTCATCATTGGCTCAGTTTTAAATCTTTTCGGAAAATATTTGCCTGAGACATAAATTGGATTTCCTTTGTGCTTCAATTGGCAGCTCTAGACGAGCCCCTGACAACACCAGCAATGCAAATGATCGTACTATATCTTTGTATGTGGAAGGTTCATATTAATAAATTAGAACATTATAAATCGGAATCCATACCAATATGTATTTTGAATCCTGACACTATGGCTTGCAACACCCCGTATTTAGTGAGGGCTTAGGAATGCAGCGTTGGTGGACTCGGTAAACTTCGCCTAACACACAACTTAGTGTGTAGCCTTTTTTTGCGGCTTTTTATGGCAGCGATCATGTTTACATCTAGATAAGGGCCATGAGGCCTAATTACGCGTCTACGAGTGAACTTGTGTTAAAGGAATGCTTACGCATGGAAATTTACGAATATTAATCGTATGATAAAATACCTAAAGTCAAATTAAGTACCCAAAAATAGACGTAACATGAAAACTTCCTCTCTATTAAAAGGTATCGTAGATCATATAACTGCTAACGAAGTGTAACTGAATCACCTTTATTTATCTCGGCCTTCGTTTCCAGCTATTTTGTGAATCACGCCGACCACACGACGACTTGGGAAGATCCAAGGCTGCGATATCCCCAACTGCAAAATGTAGGTTAAAATACTAATCTATCGCTATACTTTTGCTTTCTATATAATAATGTTCGCTACAATCACTCCTCCATAAAAAAACTCTTCCAAACAGTAACCTATCAATGTAGCTTTGTCATGCGACGGATAAAGGAAGACTGGGAGAAAATACTTCGTAAGAAAAAAGGAAGCTTAAAAAAGCCTATAGTTTACATATGACGATACATATTTCATTTGGCAATATGTAAGTAACGGAGTGTTATTAACGTGTTATTAGGGAAGTTACGCTAAGTACTATCTTTACGGGAGCGGCAAGACGACGCCAGATTCAGCAATCAAGAGCAAAATCTATCATGATGACGTTATTTCGGTAAGCACGTACAATATATGTATATAATGTCTGTAAAATCTATGTGCAATATTCTACCATCGTTTGTCATATTGTTTATGCGTTACTGAACATTGAATTTAATTAGATACTCTTATTAAACGATCATATCTTATGTGTTTCTGACTAAATAATATTTGCTTACAACCATAGAATTGCCCACCGCCTTATTACGGTATGCTTTACTATCCACCACCGTTGGCCCCACCCGCCTACACGGCAAATGTGCAAGGCTCGCCAAGGGATGGTTTCTACACGCCAGCTGCGCGAGCGATGGGTCAATATTCACCATTTTTTGGCAGTCCGAAGAGTCCACTTAGATTCAAGGTATGGCTTAGTGTTATTTTGGATCCATATTTCATAAATCCAGAGCAGTACTTGCAAATATATGTATATCATTGCATTGTATTAATATAGCAGAGTATATTCTACCGTATAATAGTACGGGTAAGTTCAGGTTTTAGACACAATCTACTTAATCAATAAATTGATTGTATATTTCTATTTTGCGTCAGTTCTTGCAGAAGTTAAACACCGAAATTGGTGCTCATATGGTCAGAAAATTCTAATCGTAACCTTTTCCCATGCAATAATGATTGATTTCGTTTAGAGTGATAATAAGATCGTGGTGGACGACAAACTGCTGGCAAAACTCGTCGTGCAGTTTCCCACCGTGGAAGAAGGTCATATCTTTTCGCTACTTAAGCAGTACAACAATCGGGAGAACGTTGTTGTTGGTGCACTTCTGGCAGAGGTAATCATAATACTCAAAAACCATATTGGAATAAACGATACTCGATGACAAGATTTCTTGAAATGCAATCAAGGCACAAGAATTATCTTACATAAATAGAACAAGAACAAATCGCCTTCTTTTTGCTTTTTTTTTTTATGTATCTGGCGTTTTTCTTAACTCGCGTATTGCAGGGATATCCTCGCGCACAGACGAACCCCTCGGGTCACGAGAATGTGCCACCTAAACTGACACAAATCGACGAAGCATTACTGAGCAAACTGCACTCGTACTTTCCTAAGGTCGACACTGACTACATTCGAAGTCTTCTGCACAAGTGCGTACTGCATTGCATGCTTCCCGCATAGAACTTAGTTTTCTGTTAAACTACCTCCATCCTTATCTGTGAATAGGAGGATACAAAAGATAAGATAAAATCTCTGGCTGAGTTTAATATTGGCCAGAATATCACTGGTCCTTTGGCCTGTTTATTAGGGTGTGCGGATTACATTGCTTCTCTGAAACGTTTATTATTTCTGTAATCCTTCTGCTACAGATTCAACAATGAGGAACATGAAGTTACAAGAATTCTGGTTAGCGGTCCTGAGAGCTACAACATTCGTCAGCCTGTATCGCACCAGCAAAGCCCGCTTGTTAAGGTCCGGTTTCTCAAATTGCTCTTCCCTGATGCCGATGAAGCGGACATATATCTTGTGCTGCAGAAGTAAGTGCACTTCAACGAATCCTATCATTGACAGGAACGGACGCCTTAAATATATCGTATTCGTTATTATTAACTAAATAACGTATTATATAATATGCGTTTCTTTGATTTTTACTTCAGTACGGACAATAATGCAACTGAGGCAATGGAACATCTTGAACAGCAGGGATACAAAAAGCTCGAAGCGCCTCAACGAAGGCCAAATGCCGTTCCCAAAGAGCCGCCCGTGCCACCGAGGTCGACGGAACTAAAAAGAGCCAATAAAAATCCTACGCCATCTTTACCCGACCAAAAGAAAAGTATGTAACTCTGTACGAAACTCTTAGCCCTATTCAATGAATAATCAAGATGGATTGTTCGTGCCTTACTCTCTGATCCCGCCGTTCGAAATTTTTATCCTTCTTCTAACCTCTAGCAGCAGCAAACCCGTTTTTTTTTTTAGAACTGTAAGTATATTGTGTGACCAAAATGTCAATAGGGTAATGTGCATTTTTAGCAAAAAGAGCTCGCTTGTTGCGCGCGTACCATCCTGCTAAAAACACAAAATACATACTTCGTGCTTGCAGTCATCGAAAAACTAAAAGAGGAGTATCCTAACATCGACCCTCCGCTAATCACCATGGCTTGCGAGAGTGCCTCGTGGATCGAGGAACGCACAAAGCACTTACTGGAGAGCGTGAAACCGACTGAAAGGTGAGCGCAGGACATCGTGTAGCGAAGTCGAGAAGCAAATTTTTCTGTGAAACAGCCCTGTGGATCAAAAACATATAGTACAAATCACGTAAAGCTACTGAAACAGTATGTGTCTAGCCTGGTGGCATTATTGCGTTTGCAGATATCCTCTCTTGTCAAGTTTCGATCATTTCATCTCTCCTACGCGGAGTCTTTTTACGCGTAGGGCTGTTGTTAGCTAAGACTTTTTCGTTTCCGTGTTTGGTAAAAGGGCAACATGGGAAGCAGTTTAAGCATAGCTACGCTTAGCTGTACGAAGAAACATTCTACTCATATCAAATTAAGCCTTGGAACAAATCATTCTATGAACAGAAAACGACATCTGTTGTTTGGTCGCATTTGAATGGTTCGGGGTCCCACGATCTGAGTTAATACGATTATAAAACCTATGGTAAACTGTCAATAACGCTTCAGAACTATAGAGGATCTAATAGTTAAAAGGTGTGCAAATTTGAAAGGTTCTTGATTTTCTGCATAGTATTCTGTTACCTTAAGCCTTGTGAGATCGAATGATTTATGAATCCAAATGATCTGAAAATTTGCACTTGCATTTACTAACCAAGAACGATCTTTTTGTAATGATTTGCAAACAGAGCTCCAATGAGTTCGTCTATGCAGGATCTTCTCAAGGAGATCTTGCCTCCTGCCGACGGTGTTGAAAGACCTCCCAAGTTGCCCGACGAACTTCGTAAGGCTGATAAGGCAACAGCCACGTCACCAGAGGGCAAACCTGAAAAAACTCATCGGGTGAAATTCTTCCGAAGAATATTTCGCTTTAATAAAGCGACATCAACTCAAGAGGATCAGCAATGTCCTGACGCAAGCCGGCCTACAGTCAAAGGACCTGACCCTAAGAATATGAAAGGGCCCTCGAGCAGAAATATTCTGTATGTTGAGAACACCTCTTATCACGCTTTCATGCTCTATATTCTCTATTATCTGTGGCAGAACATTTTCATAATTACCTATCTATCTCTTTACAAAGCTATCTTAAACAAACTATCATCTATATTCAGTGTTCTAACTGTACCCTATCGTTTAGCAAACTTACCCTTCCTATTATGGATTGGTAATACTTCAACTAGCTCACATACCCAGTCACATGTCGTTCATATCGATCAAGCTGTGAGATTCATTTTTCCTTCTGGTTTCTTTCACTGATTGCCCGCTAACACGCACCGATCACGCTTGTTTTGGCTTCCGTGTGTTTCAATCACTAATCCCATCGCAGAAGAGACTACATGCCATGGTTCGGCTCGAATGCGTCAAATCGCAAAGGTCCAGACAGCAAAAACGCTAAGGGAACCGACCAGACGAAATTGGCCAAGGGCAACGATCCCTCGAAAGCGAAAGGTCCAGATGCTTCGAAGCAGCAAGGTACTAAAGTGAAGGTGAAAGGATCGCAGTTCTCATTCTTTAAAAAAAAGGACAAAGAAAAGCACGGAAGCACCACAGCAGGGGCCAATTGCCAACGAGTTATAGAGGTACAGTAATCGACAGCAGAGGCGAAAGGAACGTCACGTAATTCCAGTTGATGATAGGGAGCCGAGGGTACATTCTGTTAATTCCTTCGCACCGAAACGTGGGCCCTCGTCTGCGCCATCCCAAACAAACCAAATCGTTTTTCTTCAGTTACTGTGAGCACCGCATTGCTCGAACAGTTCGATTTGCCAGCTACGAATCCTCTAACACATTCAATTAGACTATAGTATCTACCACGGCTTTGGTGTCGCATCAACCCACCATCGACGACCGTATCTGGATGATGAGAATACATAAAAAAAAAAAGGTGTTAACGTATCCAAAGACGAGAATATCATCTAGTCTGGGTAGGATTTCGTGGCAAGCGTCAACAATTATCATTAAAGCCAGCATTCACGTGTGCTAGTGGTGTTGTTGAGGATGCCGTGAGTCCCCGTGATAGCTTAATGGGTAACGTACTTGCCTGCCAATATTAGTCGGTTTCGGTTTGAACCCGGGTCCTGTGCTGGCAGCCAACCGTCTGATCGAATGTCTAACGGCGACACTGAACGGAGAACTCGAAGCATCCAGGGAAAGCCATACAATTCACATAGCAATAGGCAATAGACAGATCGGTCAATGTCTGTCTTAATGGCATAGTGTCGCGTAGGATTTCTTGACGGTATGCGACAATTCGACTCAGAACTTCAACGTTTACGTCCTAACGGCACCAACTGTTGATCGTCCTGCCACCCCATGGCTAGCAAAGAAGCATCAACAATATGCGAAGTATAATAAATAGAGCAACACACTATTAATAATGCCCCTTATACTGGACAATGGGTAAGAAGAATACTTTCAAGCATCGTACATCGTCATAATAGCATGCCACTACACTATTGTAGTAATATGAAAGTTTGAACACTGAACGAATGAATTGAGATGACAATATAAACGGAAAATATAAAAAAAAAAAATATGAGGGGAAAAAATATGAAATCAATCGTTGAATTTAAGAACACTCTTTTCTGGCGAATCGTACCTGGCCTAGTTTCATGACTTGCTATTGTGCAGAAAAAACAACAAACGATATCCAGCGGATACAGTATCCATTTGCACATTGTACACATCACATTAATCGAATGTATACAACGTATTTCGATCAGTGATTCGAAAAAATTCCGTTCACACACGAAATGACGAGGAGAAGAGACGTCGATGTAAGTTAAGGTAACTACTATTATCAATACTGGTATTAATATTACATGGTGATAGCTACATCTCATAACGAAGAATAGAGCAGTATGTATGGATGGATGGTAGAGGTTACGCCGTAAACAGCTCACTATTAGTTCAGGTAGAATGGATAGATGAACGAAGAGTTTAGGAAAGGGTAATGTTTACTACTTCTCTTTAGAAGCCAAGTTTTCTATTATGGACACATAATCATAACGGGCACAGGTAATATGGCAGACAAATGATAGTCACTGTAAGAAGCCGTTTTCCGTAGATCATACGCATCCAATCAAGCGAAACCATCGTACAGATTTTCAAAAGCCCCGATATAGGTAATGGAACGGAGAGAACAAGCAAAACATTTTTACACATATGGTATAATCGATGGACAATAGCAGTGTATGGTAAATCAACGTACGTTAATATAAGATCGTACTTTGCATACATGCCGATACTGATACAATGAATGTCGATAACCACTAGTAAATGTGTAAAATTAGTCCTGTAAGAAGAACTAGCTTAGAACTTTGTTGGCACATCAAATTCGTGTCCGAAATGTAGCCGGTCAATGAAGACAGAAGAAATTTGACTGGAGTATTTTGGAAAAAAGTGAAATATGCCCGTTTGTCCAACCCGGGCTTATTGGTGTTGCATATTTGCGAGGCTAATGCTTCCCGGAAATTTTTCACGATATAAAAATTTAGTACAGTCCGCAGATATTAAATGGAAAAATTAGGAGAAACTGGTCCGAAGAATTGCAGATGTGATCCATCTCTATGACGTTATCTTTAGCAAAATTACAGCAGTGTCCTAGACGGTTCGAAATGAAAATCCGCTGCCATCCTCGCCGCCAACAATAACATGATCTCATTTGTAACAAATGAACGCTTGTCGTCGCCCAGCTGGGGGCAGTTTCCCGCTTCAAAGCGTCTTCATATTGCCCGTGAACCTAGTCCTTATTACACTGGCAGATCCTGTGCATATGGTATGTTTTGGAAAAAGATGCGTTCGTTATGGACAGGTTCTATTTAGTATATTTCATATATGCCAAACTCTTCTCACACTAAAATCATGGAATACTATTGGACATTCGGAAACACTTAATTAACATTTTGTATACTTTCCTTGACTTACGCATACACCACCCATTCATATTAATAGAAACAAAACGATATTATACCAAGTATGCCAAACTGTATTGACTGGAACTTCCAAGAGCATTAATCGTATCGTATCAAACGATATTTTGTTAAATACGAACTAAAAATCCTTTCGTTCTAGGCATAACAAACGGTCATAACAGACAACGTAATGTTTTGACTACGAATGAGGTTTGTATTTACAGTTTCTTTTAAAGCGATCTGCCATCTCTGTGCGCGATACGAAAGACTCTCTCGGGAAGTCAATCATGCAATGTTTACTGAACCAGGGGAATACTTTTAATGAGATATATATACATAATTCAGAGTGCGGATGGAGTTTGTTTGTATGGATGCGAAACGATGGATATGGATATTTTGAATGTATAGGAAGGTGGACAAGCGTGTTCCTTTGAAAGCGCAGACCTTATGAACAAGCAGATAGTGCCGCAGGTATGAGCTACCAGAAAAAGATAAATCATATGAACTAAATTTAATCATATTGATTCAGTTTAGTTCGTATGATGCACTGCGACGTAAGCCAAATCTTAGCCGCCTGGTTTCGGCTATCTATTTGATTCCCCTTTTTTAAATAACGTTTTTAACAGTAGGTGTAATTTAACGACGACGACGACAAAAAAAAAAACACGAACTCACGTTCCACATGTAGCGCAGTAGTGCTTTGAGGCGTTTCACCTAGATGCGTATCTCTCAGCCTCTGTCGCTATATTGTGTCGTCTTGTCCAACATAAAGAAAACTTGAAAGGGTTTAACAGAGAGAGAGAGAGAGAGAGAGAGAGAGAGAGAGAGAGTACAATACAGTCTCTTGGAGGAGTTCGGACAGTTGACTGCGTTGTTGAAAGGCTCAACCCGCACAAATTTAAGGACACATGTCAGGAAGCGTATTTTGAAGCTGTTCGAAAACAAACAGATCTTACTATCGTCGCTCCTGCAACATGGCGATCCCGAAATTGCGACACTAATACGTTACTTGTTTCCAGCCGCCCAAGAATTGATTTCCATACAGTCGCGTGCAATATCTAGCAAACAACATAAAGAAGTAACCGATCTGCAAACCGGTCTTAAGCTAAAATGTGCGTGCAATATAAATAAAAACAACTTTGTCCCACAAAACCGATATATTCAAGTAGCGATTATAACTAATTCTAGCAAAATATTCAAACTAGAATGACCGCAAGAATCCACTAACTACTAGCTCTAAATAGTTTACTAGGAAATAACGATGTTCCAATACTGCAGTTTCTTACAGATCGAATGAATCAACAATAACACTAAATATATCGGTTTTGCAAGGAAAGCAAAATTCCAAGTGGTGCAATCGGCCTAAGTACTAGGCCCCTTACTAT